CCATGCCCTCCCCCCCCCCCCTCCCCGCTCCCTCCCCGACTCAGTCAAGCATACATGGATGATGGGAAAGACAACACAGCGTCACACAGCATCGCACAGCATGACACAGAATGACACACGGTGGTGGTGGTGGTGAAAAAGTGGCAACGGATCGATCTCCCCCGCTCAGCTGTGCCTGCCAAGGGCAGAAAAATACAGCGCACACACATACACACACACAGGCATACAGGCACATCACAGCAGTAGACGTGGACATATGGATGGACGGACGGACATTCACTGCACTCCTCTCGTCATGACACCACACCACACCACACGCAGACACGCACGCACACACTGATGAAAGAAGAAGACTTCAGCGCGCAGACCACAACCCCTTCCCCACCCCTCCCCCCCCCGACCTGACTCTGCAGCACAAATACGCTCTCTCTCTCTCTCTGTCTGTCTGTGTGTTGTGATCACGCGCATGTGCGTGACGAAGGAATGAGTGGAGGAGAAAACTTGCACACGACATCCATACATCGACACCCACACGCGAGATGATCTCTCGCAAAAATGCCATGCATGTACTCATCATTCATCCATCACTCATGCATTGCAAGCAACGCGCACGCATCGATGGCCGCACGCGTGGAGACTGCATTTCGCATACTACAGCCAGCCGTCAACAATGAGCAATAAGAATGTGGCAGCCAGCCATCCATCCATCCATCCATGAGGTCGGGTCAGTCAGTCGGCGGGTCGGGCAGCCAGGCGGCCTGCATCTTCCTTTCAGGATCGTTGCGCCCGCCCGCCCGCCCACCCACCCACACGCCAAAGCCCCATGCCCTCCCTCTCCAGGCAAAAAGTCCCTCCAACCACACCCGACCCACCATGGCTTGTGCGAATGAACATTTGAATGAATGCACGACGAGCAAATTGCACCGTCGACCGTCAGTCAAATAATGCGCTCCTCTCCCCCGCTCGTTCTTCCACTCCATCCATTCAGCAGCTGTCATGGCTGGCTGCAAAACAGGCAGCCAGGTAGAGTAGGTGGTAGTCCACACAAGCACTCCAAAAGACATGCATGAATCATCAACGCAGATCTCTCTCAAAAATCTGGTGGTTGGTCAGGGAAGGGAAGGGCAGGACAGGGCAGGGCGGGAAAGAGGAATAGACGCGTTCAGGAGGACGACATGAGGAGAGAGGACGGCGGATGGGTGGTTGGAATGGGGTGTGGACACCTTCCCTTGCTCCCCTGACTGACTCACGGCCCGCTGCCTGACCCACCTGCCATATCTACGTGTCCTTACGCATCATTCATGTGTGTGGTGGTGCCCACTCATGTGTGTTGGAGCGGCCATCGAAGAGACAGAAAGATAGAGAGATGGATGGATGCCCTATGCGGATGGAACGAACGAATGAAATGAAAAATCATCGGCCGTTTTCTCGAGTGGCCTGTTTGTTTCTCTCCGTCTACCTCACTTAGTGTCACGACGTCATTCCCGCTTCTGTGTGTCCCTTTCCTCTCCCTCTCTGGTCGTGGTCACAATTCCGTAGGCAAGGCAGATCAGTCAGTAGTCAGCTGAGCTAACGGCACGGAGGAGGGGGCAGGGCGAGCCTCACGGAGGAGGGGGCAGGGCGAGCCTCCGTCCTCCCACCCATATATCCCATCCAGCGCTCCTCTCTCTCTCCTCCTTGACTGACTGACTCCCTGCTGCTTTCCACAGCATAGCATAGCACAGCGCTCACCGCATCGTACGATATAAATGGATATGGGATGGATGGACGTGTAGCATGGGATGCATGCCCTAACGGGTGTATCTCTCTCTCTCTCTCTCTGGTATGTCTATGTGTTTGGCTCTGGTATGTACGCAACGCCTGCCGCGAGACAGACAGACGAGCTGGGCTGTCGACTGCTCTCGGTCGGTCAGTCGGTCAGCTCTGCTGCAGCACTAACTGGGAAAAATGCGGCCTCGTGCTTGCCTGCTGGCCTCATTTCCCCCCTCTCCCCCTCTTCCTCACCTTTCTCCACACCCTACCACACCACCCAACACCACACCACACCACACACGGAAGCGCCACACATACACGGATCGATGCAACAAACCC